TATAAAGTTGGGGGGGGGGGGGGAAGGCAATTACATCGCAGTGAAATAGCAAGTAAATCATGGTACAATTTAAATTATAAAAGTTTATCATCAATAATTAGTTTCAAAACTCAGCGATAATATACGTTGTATAAGCATGTATGTACTTGTATATTTGCCGTGCTGGGATATTTCAGATCAGTCAACAAAGCATTTTAATCCGTCCGTGCATTATAATATATATATGCATATATGCGGTCATACATATCGGATGACATTGACACGTGATTATATTCATTTTCTGAGATAAAAATGTAAATACACACACACAAAAAAACTTAGTTCACGACAATATGGAAGGAAACCATGCTGATGACAAACACATAGCACTCTTTATGCTTGTGTTTTTATGGATCTATAGCTTCACGAAGACATGCAAGGTGCATGCTCCAATTAAGTCTCCGATAGTTTACACACACACATATATTCACATCTTTTATTTAATTCGTTCATGGTCTATCGCATAATATACAATTTTTAATAGTTGCGTAGTAAGTTTTTGCACAAGTTATGTATTTTTTTTGTATGCATTCTAATTCAACAGCCTTTCGTATTTCACAGCCGTCTTTTTTATTTTCACAAAACCGCAATTATAAATTCTCTCCTTGCACTTAACCCAAAACTAGAAGTCAACGGAACATGTTGAAGCTTCATTTACTTCATCACCCATATTACCAATGGGTAATAAATACACTTTGATTGATTTACCAAAAGGATCACCACCTTAACAAAAGCATTCTTCAAATGACCAAATCTGATTCAGGACAAAAGCTTTGGTCCTTAAAGGCATACCACGATTAAGAATCTTAGGGACGGACGTTCTTCAGGACGTCGCCTTGTCGGCTGAAACAGTGAGCTTAACTTCTTCTATGCTCTCCTCCCCATTTGCTGCGTGACGAAAAAAGAAGAGCATTGTCACACATGTTATCCATAGACTACAACGAGATTTTATGGGTCGGAGATTATAATGATCCCCGAGTATATTGTGAATGAAAACGGCTTCAGAATGTAACTCTACAGCTTTTCTAATGGTCTATGGCTCTGTCCAAGCATTTGTCATGGTTCAGCCTTCAAATTGGCAATCTTTTTTTCTAGCATGGTCACGAAAATTTTCGCTTTCTAATCACATCGGAGGGTTCCTCGAGAAACCTCCCCATTGCGTTGCACTTATCAACACATGTTTTCTACCGCTCTGAAATCCAGTCTTTCACATTTCCACTCTTCGCATGTCACATATGTCTAATGAATTGCATATAATGTAAAAATCTTAGCTAAATCTAAGCGTGTGTAGACAGACAATGACGAGAAATATTGAAAAAAATGGTTCGATTTAAAACAGGGGCATTACCTTGGATGGATTTTTCGTACTGCTCCAACTGCGAAATGAAACCGAAATTAGGCAATGCCTGAGGCCGTCGGCTCCTAACGTGCTCCATGGCTTTAGAGAAGCTCAATCCATACTTTTTCATCAGATAAGCCACCACTATAGTCACACTTGAGACAGAAACCAGAGCATTCAGAGTGTTACCATCTCTTTTTTGGGGGTTTAGTTTGATAACATTTCATCTGTTTCCCCTTACCACACTTCCTCTAAACAACAAAAAGCAAACTTCAACTACCCGTGTATTCCATTTTGCCAAACTTCAGTTGAGCTTGATCAAGACCCATAAGCAGAAATTTGTAAAAGTTCATTCGATGCATATAATACTTATCGGCTTTAGAATTGTTGTCGTCCAAACAAATTTTTCTAGATGTTTACGTGTTAGAACCCGGCGATGGATTCTAATAGAAAAACCTGCTGCTACTAAGGAGAACAGCAAATCCGACGATATTCGAGGATCGTCAACCTCCCCTCAAGAATGATCAGCCAAACAACTGATATCTTCATTCATAACATAAGTAATCCTCTTACAGAGGATGAAGGCTGCTGATGGAAAAATCAGCGAAGCCCTACAACTCTTACTTTTAGTTTTGATCCCTTACTTTCAGAAATTTACATAACATTTGTAATAATAATAAGTAAGCCCAAAAAGTGACAACTACTTATCTCCTTGCTGCATTGCTTGTACGTGTTCTTGAACCGGAGTATATCATTACGCAAGCATAAGACGAGTCATTGCATGAATTTCCTTATAGATAAAAGGTTACTACTAGTCCACATTTCTCCTCAGAAATGCCAAATCAACCAGAAGAAAGCGAATGATAAGATCATGGGAAGAGAGACTCACCTCCTAGACATTCCCATGAAACAGTGGACCAAAACCCCACCACCAGATTGTCTAGCTTCGTCGACAAAGTTGAAACATTCATCGAAATATTGCGTCAAATCGGTCTCGGATCTGTCAACAACTACATCAATTTACAAGCACACAACATTAGTAAGAGAGCATCAATGGAGGAAAATGATCTGAGACAGTTCTTATCCAGTAGAAATTTCTTTCTGAGTTATGCATATACAGATTCACCTTCTGCCATTCTAACAAGTTCGACGTCTCCTCAACCACAGATTCACAGATTAGGACTGAGTGGTCTCAAATCCATAAAAAAATCACATACCTTCGATGACTTTATATGAAAATTCATCAGGGTAAAGAGGGGATACAGCCACCGCCACCGTTAAGATATGGGTGACATTGGAGCTTTTAAGCAAATCTCTGTTACTTGCCTCTGCTACAGAACCTATGAACAATCCCTGCAAAATCAGACAAAGAGCTCGAGAAATTAAAATGTCGGACATCGAATCCGAACAGCACAGACCAACAAAAGGGAACTGAAACTGAAGAAACCTCTTCGATCTTGCTTAGATCGTTGCCTCCTTCCATCAGTTTCTGAACATTGTCTTGTCCAACACCGAACAGATCAACCACCTTGTCCATCAGAGCCTGCTCGCAGCAATCGAAACCTTGAAAATTTTCAGGGGAACACCCACCAAAGAAAAAAAAAGGAAAAGAAGAAAGCCCTAATGCCCAATTCGTGAGGAAGAACAATTCGATTACTCCACAATTCAAACCCAGCAAAAGAAAAGGAATGGATTCTGCGAAGTTTTGTCTCTCTGAGGAGATCAAGAGACGATTTGGTCTTCGTTTCGATTCGCTATTTGTCGGGGAATAATTTTATTCAATTAAAACTGAATAATCATCGGTTCGGTTCAATTTGGTTTTAATACCGGTTCGATTTGGAATTATTTGGTTTATTCAATTCTACAAAAATAATATCAAACCGAATAGGATTCTATTCAATTCAATACCACTTCTTTTTTTTTTTGATAATTTTCCTCTTTTTTAAAAAAAAAAAAACACAATCATCAACCGATCACAAGTAGTTCTAAGAACGGGAACAAGAAGTGTTATGCAGTAAAAGAGAAGAGGTGACACTGAAGTTGGAAGATTCAAGATCAAACTCCATTAGAGTATCCTCCAACAGATGCCATCCCAGCAAGACCCCGTTGCCAAAATCACCCCCGGCGTCGATAAACGGCAAACAAGTCGTGTTTTCGTCGGCGTCCCTCATCAGGTTCGAGCCGTAGAATCTCCATCTCCCTGTCTTCAGCACCAGCTCGATCACCGGCATGTCCGGTCCGGTGATCGCCGTTCCAATGCTCTTCCGGTCGAAACACATATCGAACTGAGATCGATCCGATGATACATTCACAATCCCTCTTTTCTTGGCTTTTGCTACGAAGGCTTTGCGGAACGGCTTGTAGATATACGAGTGCATAAAGGTATAGATCTCAGGTCCTATCTTGATGCCGCCATTGCCTTTTTTGTCAATCGACAGTAGAGATTTCTTGAGAGGGATCGGTTCTCCGTCTATCTCGATGGATTTCACGTCGATGAAGTATTCGTCGGATGGTGCACCCTTGATCTTGTCAGAAAGAAACAAAAATAAAACTTTCTAATACTTGTAAAAGCTGGTTGTAATAAGAACAAATACTTGCAGTGATGTCACCATGAACAACGTTAAACGTTGGGAAACTAACCGGAGGTTCTGCCCTATTGACGGGGTTAGTGACCAGCGAGGTGGTAGCAAACAGACGGGAAACGTCCCCCTTGAACGGTGGATACAAATATGGACCTCCGCCGATCAAGAACTTGCCCTGGTTTGATTCTTGGGGTTTAGAAGGAAGACAGAGGGAGAATTTTCGACGAATGTTGAAGGCAGAAGAGATCTGCGTTGGAAAAGAGAGAGTGTTCCTTGACAGACCAAACATTCCAAGAGCCGAATAGGGTAACCCGTAGATGGCATCTGACTCGGTGCATGCGAATATCAATGGCGGTGAGTTGACACGTGGACCGAGTCTAAGGCCGTCGGGCGTCGATATGAAGCTCATAACGTCTTGGGCCAACCCTCCACGAAGACTTCCCCTCACATTTGGTCTGTACACATTCACTCCACAAGAATCGCTCAAGCAACGTGGCATGACCTCCGCTGCCTCGCCACAGTCCCATAAAGCTGAAAAGATTATATATAAAAAGATGGACATAGAAAGTCCAACCTCCTAATTATCAGAAGAAGAAAAAAAAGGCATGTTTCATATGTTGATACGGATGGCTTACGTACATGCTTGGTTGGCGAGCTTGCATTTGGGGGAGCTAAAACGGATGGGACGGTAGGAGGAGGAGTTGTAGCCAGGGTCCGAACATATGTACCAGGAGAAGCGACCGCCGAACTCGAGTCCGAATTTGGCTAAGACCGTTGGATTAGTGCCGAAGCCCACGACGGCATAGTGGAGGCCAAGGTCCGGATCTTTGACCACCGGAATGATAAGCCGGTGGTGTTTCTCCGGTGAGTTTCCGGTGGCGACGAAGGGGAAGAGGAGGATGAGAAATGGGAGAGGAGACATTATTTCTCTTTGAGTGATGAGTTGAAACTCGTCGTTTATATTTAAATAAATATTTGAGTTTTTAATTTATATTATGTTATGTTACGTGTATAACAAGCAAAGGTTACCCCGGTGTTTCCATAGCTTCATGCTATGAAAGCCTCTCTTCATGTGAATATGCTTGAGCGGGGCGAATCTCAATGGTGGACGATGATTCATAGAAGGGGCCGAAGTAATTTAAATATTTTAATACAAAAGCATTTTACATCTTTATTTTAAAAAATATAAAATTTATAAAAAAAAATTAATTTTTTAATTAAAATAATGTAAGCAAAGGACCCCTGGTCCGCCCATGATGCGATTATACAACCATAACCGAACCTTTAAAATTGAGTATCCATGTGAATTATAATATATATATATATATATATATCTTTCAACTCCATGTGATTTTCATTGGTCGAATACATGTACATTTTTTTAATATATACACACGTGCCGTATAGTAATTAATAGATCTAGCAGATCCAAATCTCCCAGATTTTGTTGATATGAAAGGCACTCTTCAAATAAAAAAAAACTATTTTGAACCAGTAATATTATTTTACGGAATTGGATTAAAAAAAATGTTCCACCAAATTTCCCAGTTTTTAATATCTTCACGTAATCCTAAAATATGTCTCTTAGCATGATGAGATATTGACATGTGCAAATTTTATTGCGTTCGTGCTCATATATAAAGACTAGAAAGCAGGCTACCAAAATTAAAAAGATCATTGAGTTTATAATTTATAATATAATGTAAAGTTTAAATTATGGAGTACACTATTTTTTTTCTGTCTGCCGGTCCACACGGGGCTCCACTCTTGTCCTGGATAAGGTAGGTGCTGGTATGTATAGGCACATCATCATCATCATATATACTTTACTACCTGTTTAGCCTATAAATACACTCAATGAGTGAGAAAAAAGACATTGACAATCAATGGCTCGTCTCCATCTCATCATCATCCTCTTCTTCTTCTTCTTCTCGGCGGCCTTCGCCACGGGAAAGCCGCATGCGTTTATGATGAAGGTGAGCAAACACGATTTCGGCTATCTCTATTACAGCAGCATCGAAGTGGGCACTGCTCAAAACTCGTTTTCAGTGAACCTGGTCCTCGATCTCTCCTCCAAGTCACAGTTCCCCTGGTTCGACTGTTCCGCCACTCGCTACAACTCCTCCTCTTACCGTCCCTTCCGCTTCGGCTCCCCCGGCTGTAAACTCGTCAAGAACGCAGGTTCCGCTTCCACATATCTGTCGACCCATACTTCTTTTTTGAATCGACAATAATATTATTAACCCTAGGGTTTACTGATGACTTTGCAGTTCCATGGGACTGTCCCAATGCCATTGGAGCGCCGCCGACAAGCTTTTGCTTCAACCAATCGTGTGGGGTGTTTCCTATCTCTGACGTTGAGATTGTGTATATCGGAAGCTTGGGCGAAGATATCATGAGGCTCGGCTCCCGATTCACCACTCCGCCGGTGGTTTTCTCATGCGTCAACCCTTCCACCGCCGGAACTGTACCGGAGTCATCACCGGGAATACTTTCTCTCTCTAGGCACGTCCTCTCTCTCCCCATGCAGCTCGCCTCATCACTCCAACTTCCCCGGAAATTCGCGCTCTGTCTTCCTTCCAATACCAACCAAGAACCAGGCCGTGGCAGCCTTTTCATCGGCGGCGGGCCATATCTCTATCCTCCGTACTCGGGAGACGCTTCCGGTCTCTTCGCGACCACCTCGTTTGTCACGAACCCTGCCATTAAAGCAAGACACAAGGTTCGTTTACAGATGTTCAATTTCAGTTTTCTTCATGGTCATGGTCCCATGGAGACATTCATTTGTTTTGTTTGTCTTCGTCAAGGGCGCATCTCCTGGCGATTACTTCGTCGACGTGAGATCCATCGAGGTGGACGGGGAAACGATTCGTTTCGACAAGTCAATACTGTCGGTTGACAAAAAGGGCAAAGGCGGGACGACATTCGACATCACTAGGCCCTACACCTATATGCGTTCCTCTATCTTCAACCCTTTCATCAAAGCCTTCAAGGCCAAAGCCAGGGCGAGGAAGATGATTGAGACGACCACTTATGCTCCGTACAGCGCGTGCTTCGACCGGAAGAGTGTCCGGACGGGAATCGCTGGACCGGACGTCCCTGCGATCGATCTGGTGCTACGAGACGGCAAGAAATGGCGAATCTACGGCTCGAACTTGATGGTGGACGATGGCGAGAGCTGGTGTTTGACGGTTCAAGGCGGGAGTGGAGTGAGGCCGGCGATCCTTATTGGAGGAATCTTGGTGGAGAATAATCTGATGGAGTTTGATATTGAATCCTCCAAGTTCAGTGTCACGTCTTCTCTTTTATTACACAACACCTCCTGCACTCGCTCTGCAACTGCTTGATTCATGTCTTATTAGATCCAATGCCACATAATTATGCATCCATTTGACAGATGTTAATTTGAATAACAAAAACATAATCATAGAGATGAAACGTCTCATGTGCTAAGGTAGACGAAATGCGATTGTTCTGCATTTTTTTTAAAACATAATAATCATACCGCGAAATAATCATTAAAGATTTGTAACGCTTAAATTTATTAAAGATAAATGATCCCATTTGTCTTTTCTTTTAAGACATTCATAAGTATGGTCTTATATATTATCAATTAATATTATTAATTTAGGAAAATATTATATTAATATTCCTAAAAAACACGCACATGGCAAACGAAAGGAATCATCAACGGGTAAATATGACATTACGCTAACACTAATTTAATATTATCACTGATTATTATGTAAACGTGCAATTAAAGAATTGAGTTGGTAGAGCATACGATAGATAATGTGAATACGTCCGGCGAATCCAGCCAAACTCAGCGTGCTCTTGCTCGGCCCCATAACCATTCCATTACATTTATTTACATATTTCACAGTCTGGACCACGTACAATAATATATGAAATGTCAAATAAAATATTACGTAAAGACTATTCAATTCCAAATACGCGTTCCATTTATTTATTTATTTATTTTATAAATCAATGGTCTAAGATCTAGAACAACAATAATGTTAAAAAAAAAAACAATTGTTTCCAAGAGATTCGAACTTAGCTGTGACCCATAAATAACACATAACGTAAGCTTTTGTTTTCAAGGATTCATCATTTCGATAGTCAAAGCGGCTTTGACTTTTCTCGTGGTTCATGATGGCTCCTCTCCGGCGTATCCTCCTCCTCCTCCTCCTCTTCTTCATCTTCTCCGCCGCCGGTCCGTCCTCCTCCGCCGCAAGAAAACCACATGGGTTTACCCTAAAAGTGGCCAAACAACTAGATTTCATCTTCAACCTCTACTACGTCAACATCCAAGTGGGCACTTCACCATCATTATCAGTGAACTTAGTCCTCGACCTCGCCTCTCAGTTCCCATGGTTCGATTGCTCCGAAGCTCGCTACAACTCGTCCTCCTACCGTCCCTTCTCCTTCGCTTCTCCTAAATGCAAGCTCGTGAAGAATGCAGGTTTTGTCCATATATATCCGCCATTGTTATAATACTATACCCGCAACGAAAAGGAGCGATCTTTACGCTGTTTCTGTAATGTTTTGCAGTACCGTGGGATTGCCCTTTGCCATCAGGTGTGCCTGTTCCGCTTGGCTGCTTTAACAATTCATGTGGAGTTTACCCTTTTGATTACGTTGAGACCCGTTTCTATATGGGAAGCTTGGGTGAAGACATCATGAATCTGCCGGCAACTCCGGCCGGCGGTCCAAGACTCGACGCACCGCCACTGGTTTTCTCGTGTGGCCAGCCAGGAGCCTTCTACCCGTACCGAGCATCATCCCGCGGACTTCTCGGTCTATCCAAGAACGTGCTCTCTCTTCCAATGCAGCTCACTTCCGCTTTCAAGCTCCCTCGTAAATTCGCTCTCTGTCTTCCTTCTAAGTTGATCGATTCAGGAGAAACCGGAAGCCTTTTCATTGGCGGTGGTCCATATTCCCTCCCGCCTTACAACGGAGATGCTTCCAATCTCTTCTTCACCGCTCCATTGCTCATCAACCCTGTCAGTACCGCCGAGCCTCGGGTACGTACAGATACTTTCGGTAATGCCATGACAAAAAAATGTACATAGAGATCGAGTCTCGACCTCACAATCATTCGTGTTTTTGTAATACAGGTCAAGGGTGCACCCTCGGATGAATATTTCTTAGACGTGACATCCATCGAGATCGACGGCGAATCATTCCCTTTCAAGAAATCTTTACTGTCGATTGACAAAAAGGGCAATGGCGGCACCAAGCTCGCCACCACAACGCACACTACCATTATGCACGGTTCAGTTTTTGAACCCTTCGTAAGAGCCTTCAAGGCCAAGGCCAAGGCGAGGAAGATGGTTGAAGTGCCTGGCTTGGCTGGTTACGGCGGATGTTTCGACGCAAAGAACATCCGGATGGGAATAACTGGACCGGACGTGCCAGTGATCGATCTTGTCCTGAAAAGCGGTGGGAAATGGAGAATCTACGGATCAAACTCGATGGTTCTTGAGACAGACAGGTGGTGTTTGGGGGTTAGTAACGCGGGGAGAGAGTATAGCAGACACGCGATGGTGATAGGAGGGCTTGCTTTGGAGGATAATCTGTTGGAGTTTGATCTTGAAGCTTCTAACCTCCGTTTCACTTCGTCTCTTCTGCTCCATAAAACCTCGTGCACTTGATGTTTGTGTTTTGGTGGTTTCTGTCCGAAAACCGTTGAAATATGTTTGTATTCGTCGAATTCTGTTTGTTTTGTGTCGGGTTTAAATAAGAGAAGCCAATTCAATAGGCAAAGACTGAGGACAAAAAAAGTAAAGGCTTTTTTCCGATTTTACAAATGTACACCATGGCCCAATTATAATGGGTCGAACTAGAGTCCATTTGCCGACCAGTTTCATATCCACACGTGAAAATAGATATGGTTGAAACTACGCACGTGCTAAATTCGGATATTCTGAGGATAAACATTGACTAAAAAATGACACGCAGTCTAGTCAGCACTGTCCTCCACTTAAAACTTGGGAATATCCTTATCGTTTACGACCCTCCGATTCCACCCTTCCAACCACACGGCGTCGGCCCATCGCGTCGATATATGTCGCAAACCTAATCCTCTCATCACTTAGGTCCGCTTCCTCACTCACACTCCCTCTTCAATGGCTTCTTCTTCTTCTCTCGCTCTCGTCCTATTCTACTTCTCCGCCCTTTCTCTCTCCCACCCCTTAAACGCCGTCGTTTTCCCCGTCTCCAGAGATCTACCCACCGGTCAATACGTCGCCCAGATTCGTCTCGGTGAATCGCCGGAGCCCGTCAAACTCGTCGTCGATCTCTCCGGAACCATCCTCTGGTTCGATTGCTCCTCGTCATCTTCCTCGTCTCGGAATCTCACCTCCGGGAACTCCAGCGATTGCGCGAGGGCGAGGGCTGGGGCCCACCGTGTCTCATCGTCGCGCGGGGACGACTCCGTTTGCCAATTGCTGATCCGTAACGGCGTCATGGGGTTCTCGGCGAGGGGAGAGCTCGCCGGTGACTTCCTGGCTGTTGGATCTGATTCCTCTGCTACGTCGCCTGGAGCCGTAGATTTGCTATTCGCTTGTGCTCCTCGCTGGCTGTTACGTGGGCTCGCTGGTGAGGCCCATGGAGTATTGGGCCTGGGTAGGGCCCAAATATCTCTCCCTTCTCAGCTTGTCTCCGAGACTATTGAACGACGCCGTTTCACAGTTTACCTGTTGCCGACCAACGGCGTCGTCTCGACTTCCTCCGCCGAGGTCGTATTCGGTGCGGAGGTGTCTAGATTGCTCGTGTACACCCCTCTATTCACCGATCCGAGTGGCAATTACGTAATTAACGTGAAATCCATCCGGGTCAACGGCGTTAAGATCTCCGTCAACGCTCCGTTATCGGCGGAGCTGAGCACCGTGATTCCGTACACAGTAGTCGAGAGCTCAATCTACATGATGATAGCTGAATCCCTCGCCGAGGCCGCGACCGCGACAGCGACCGCAGTGGCGCCGTTCGGCCTCTGCTTCGCCGACACGACGCCGATCCCGGCGGTGGAATTCGCGTTGCAGAGCGAGATGGTGAGGTGGAGGATCCATGGGAGGAATCTGATGGTGGATGTCGGAGGCGGAATCCGGTGCCTGGGAATCATCGACGGCGGGTCGGGTCGAGTCAACCCGATCGTGATGGGTGGGCTTCAATTAGAAGGCTTTGTTTTGGATTTCGATCTGGGTAATTCTGTGTTGGGATTCGGACAGAGACGAACTGGTTCTGTTTCTAATTCGTTGCCACTCGAAGCTCTGTGATGTGGAAACTAACTGTGACTGACTTTACGCCATTTTTGCTCTTGTTTGTAACACATCTTAATGTAAAGCTCGAATCTTTTTGTGGAGCATTTGGACTCAAGACTTGATTTTGAGTGTTTGTAAGTTCGTAACCATTCAACAGCAAATTTCATTAGCCTTTCTTTGGATTACTATTCATTACCTACGAAGCTTATGCTAATCCGAATTTTAATTGGAATGTGAGAAAGTTGAGATTCCTGAGATAAAAGATAATTAGATTGAGGATGCATCCATCTGATTCTAATGCATGACTTAAGAAACGCCAAACAAGCGTTGGGTTTCTGGTTGCAAGCAGGTGATCGAATTAGGGCAAACACATGGAATGTGTTGGACAACGTCTCCTCTCAAACAGCTCAACAGGAGGAAACCCCCATTTGTTTAATTGTCTTTTTCCATCTTCTTCTTTCTTTATTTTCGTTTTTTTTAATCTGATCTCTTCTCCACCTTCTTTGCGTTCCTTCTTACCCTCTTTGCCATCTTCTTCTTCAACCAACGACAGATAAAGACTCGGCTCCATCTCTACTGGTCATGAGCTTTCTGTTCACGTCTGGGAGACAGCCATTGAAAAGATAAAGAGACAAATGGTGATGTTCCAGACGAAGCTATCTCCGAACAATGCTCCCGGAAACGAGGAGACTCCGTCCAGAGACGACCAAGAAACTGGCTCCACTTCATCCATGTCGAGAACCGGGGATTGTTCATCGAAACGGAGGCTGTTTCGTTGTTTCCTTGGTGATATGGACTTGAACCCATTACGTATTGTAAGCATATCTCCGATATTTACATGATCCGTGTCCAAAAGAGTTATATTTTGAAGATGGGTCATCTGTTTCGTTATAAGGTAAATATACGTGTGTAGGTGATGGCGGAGATGGTGGGGACATTCATTCTGATGTTCAGCGTCTGCGGAGTAATAGCGACGACAAGACTCACCGGAGGACACGGCGGCTTGCTCGAGTATGCGGCCACGGCCGGATTCTCGGTAGTGGTCGTCATTTACGCCGTCGGACACATCTCCGGTGCCCACGTCAACCCCGCCATCACCATCGCCTTTGCTGCCTTTGGCGGTTTCCCTTGGTCCCGGGTATGCATGAACATGACCCATCATGTCATATCATGCATACATGCATGTGCATATGGTCCATGGCCATGGTGTAATGAGACGTGAATGTTATGGTTCAGGTACCGTTTTATATAGGAGCTCAAACGCTGGGTTCGGTCGTGGCGACGTTGATGGGGATGTGGATATACGGAGTGAAGGCCGAGGTGATGGCCACGAGGCCTGCGTTTGGATGCGCGTCTGCGTTCTGCGTCGAGCTAATCGCCACGGGGATTGTAGTGTTTCTCGCGTCTGCGTTGAATTGCGGGCCTGATCACTCGGTATCATTTAAACCTCTTATATTATTGTGACGGTCTCAACTCTGAAATCAGACTAGACACGGATTGAGTATTAGTAAAATTTAGGTTCATATTCGGAAATTTCGAATATAATAATTTGATACCATATTCGTATCCAAATATTTATTGGATATTCAGATTATGAATATCCCATAAAATATTTGAGTTTCCGTAGTTATTCGTGTGTGTATATATATACACATATACACCAATAAATTAGGAAACTAAATTATTCGTACATATCTATGTATATATATTTAATAGCAGTATTTAAATTCGAAAATTGTTTTAAAAAACATTTATAAAAAAAAGGCATGATACTGAAAAATGGATTTTTGAAATCCAAAAAAAAATTAACAAGGGTATATGTCTTTAACAAAAATACTACACATCATCATTTTTTTTAAATTATTTTTATCCATCCCTTGGACGAATAATCAAAAAAGAAAAAAAAATGAAATGAAGGATGATTTTTTACGGCCACAGCTATCTGAAAAATGTTTACACGTTGGTTTTGGACAGGAAAGCAAACTGTCGGGGTTTATAATTGGAACAGTCATTGCACTTGGCGTGCTCATTTCAGGGTACGATCGCTTTTTCATGCAGTCCAATGTTATAACTTTTAATATATGATACGTTATGATGAACCACAGGCCAATATCAGGAGGGTCGATGAACCCGGCTCGATCGATGGGACCGGCTGTCGTGGCTTGGGATCTCAAGGACGTTTGGGTCTACTTGACGGCTCCCGTGATCGGAGCCTGCGTCGGCGTCATAACGTATCGTTCACTTTCCCTTAAAGCTACGGCTTGCTCTTCTTCTCCCTCACCCTCTGTCTCTGCCCTCCTACACTAACCCTCATGTCCTCACTTATGCTTTTGCTTAATTTAAATAATTAATTTTCCCTGCAAAAATAAAATTAAAAAAAATAATATGAGTTTTATGATTTTTGTAAATGGGTACAGGCATATTTGTACTTTTGGCCCATTGGGCCTTCATTGGGCCTGTTTCAGATAATGTTGGACTTCGAATTTGGTGACTGTTTATTATATATAGATTGATTTTTTTTTTTAATTTTAAAATTGCTTTTTTTTCCTTGAAATTGACAAAAGCAATACCTAGTGGGACGAAATTATGGGACTGAAGTGACTACAAGCTAATAAAGAATATTAAAAAAATGACGTAATAATTATAATTATCTGAATATAATTATTAAGAGAAAACTGAACAAGAAAAAAAAAACATGCATATGAGTGCTTTGGTGCCATAAGGATAAAAAGAGTGGACAATGAGATCACGAGAGAGATGGGTCACCATTTTTCATGTCGTAGAGGACCATCCACAATTTTATATCCAAACATATTTCGGATTTATAAAAAAAAAAAAAAAACAGAGAGCCTGTTTAAGTGAAATATATGAAAAAAATTACATATTTAAATTTGGGTTTTAAAAAATGGTTTTGTTAAAAAAATATGACCAGCTAAATAATTATGTCTTACAAAAAAAATAAAAACTTTCTTTAGATGACGGACGTCTGATAATGATGTGTGGCTTCTAAAATAATATCTTCCATAAAAATGCATGTGGGTATTTGGGGTAATATATAAAATAAAATAATTTTTTTATAAAAAAATATCAAAGTCCTTTTCTATTTGGGGAGTTCCCACTCCTTGGCCTATGGAGAGAGCACGGATGCATGATGACCGACTGCCATCCAGTTTCCCGTTGTTTTTACGGAGTTTCTCAAAAGTTTTTTTTATTATTGAAAATTGAGTATTTTATTCCGAATTATTTTAAAATAAAATTAAGAGTTAGTATTAAAAAAATTTAATATTTTATGGTAGGATTTTTTTCTGTAATTTTTCTCTTATATAAACAAGAAATCATATTACAAAATAATTTTTAATGGATAATGCTTGTGCATCTATTTTCTTTGCGTTTTTCTTTTTTAATTTCATGATAATAGCATCAATATCGCTTGTCTTATTCAAAGTTTATTGGTGGTCCTCTTATCTCTGCATCATGACAACAATAATTGCTCTCCCTATTATTCTAAAAAATAATACTCCCTCTATTATTTTAAAATATATGACGCTTAAAAATTCTACACATAAATTTTAAAAAAATAATATTTTACCTAAAATACTCTTATTTATTAGATATATAATGATTATACAAAATATTTGAATATTATTAATTTAGAAAAAAATATTAAAAAATACATTGAAAATCTAAAAACGTCATTTATTTTGAAACAAATTTTTTATTCTAAAACTTCATCTATTGTGAAACGGATAGAGTAATTAATTAGTCTCTCTGTTCGATCGAAATTCTTTCTAACTATTACAAACTATTTATATATCTATTTAAATATGACTTTTAATTAGTAGACGAAAGACTACTATCAAAAAGGACAATATAAAATATTTCAAAAGAGGAAAAGTAATTTCCCCAAACGCGTAGTTAATTTAATCGAAAATATAATTTTATCGCGTATGTAACATTTCTTGGTGGTTGTCAACAACTATTGATTACAATTTTTTTTTTTTATAATCCGATTTTCAGTTTTCTTAACCAATATCTTTGTGTTCAATTAAAGCATTAGAAGGTCCTATCCATTTCTTAGACTATAATAATTAGGCCACGTAACTATCTTCCAATTGTAAAAACAGTACCTATTTTCAATATAAATAAAAATAATTACATACATTACAACATTTTTTTGGACCGTATATATAATATACGTTAATATTATTTTTTACAACATAGATCTACAATCTCAAAAGCCATCTTTTAGTTCGTCTCCGATATATTATAATCCAAATACTTTATAGGATACGTATCAAAATCTATACGAAATATATCGTACAGATCTCTGATCTTTTTGTTTTCGTATTTGTCATAAAATAATGATATTTTTTTCACTTAATAAGAATCTTACATATAAAAAATATATACTTTGTGGTAATATGTATCTCACAACCTCTCCTTTATTCCCTAATGAAACCTTGATTCACGTCTATGTAACATGCTTGTAAACATAATATTTGGACATGCAATATCGTTTTCCGAGTTAAAAAAAAAATCAAATATAAGGGAAAATGGTAATACATATTTCATAACGAGGAAATGTCCAAAAGGCCAATTACTAAAAAACCGTGGGCTAAAGCTAAAAACCATGGGCGTCGCTGTCCTTTCAAGAATCTTAAAATCTCTTTATTCAAATTTTGTATGAAGAAAAAAGAAAAAAAAAACTTATATTATATACGGTTTTTTATATTTTATAACGTTTTGTATATTAAATCTCAAATTTTCTAAGTACTTAGATTATCAAATTGGATTTTGATTTGGAGGCATGAAAAATCAAAGTTCCATACATAAACAGAGCCACCAAGGTTGATCCCATATGTGACCATTTTAATTATTTTTTAAAAACAAAAAGGACAACGTTAAAAAAATGGTGATAGAATTTCAATATTTCTATCCAGATATTTCACCAAACATATAGATAGGTGCTTTAAAATTAATGTTATAGATGTACAAGGGATAGTAGCCGTCAAAGAGGTAACACGAACAAAAAAATAGATTTTAAAAATACAAATTATAAACATTTTTGTTTTTTTTCCCTAAATTTCGGTATTTAATTATAAATAAAATCATGTTAGATATTCTATATATGTGTTCCAATTATATTTCATATAAAATGGTTACGGATAATATTCATAGTGACATACTCACTACTCATATGTCATTGTAGAGTTTGTAATGGGTATATAAATTTTCTAATGTAATAAGGATATATTTATATGATTTAAAAATGCACTAGCCGGGGATTCCTTGTGTCTATGTTATCTTATTTTATAATCCAAGTATCTAATAAAATATGACATTTGGAATATTAAACATGGTTTTATCCCCATTAATTTAGGTTAAAGTTGCTTTCAGTGCACAGTAACTCTGCCTCAACTTTTAATTATAGTAATTATGAGCTTGTAACCACAAGTGACTAGATGATTATGATAATAATATGATATTTTGCTAAATTATTCTTATTATATACCCGTAGATGAAAATAGATATCAGACATAACAATAAACCAAAAGTTGATATTACGAGAGGCAGCAAAAATATAAAACTAATTTCATAAAAAAGATTTATTAGCGTAATGTAATCTGTGAGCAGATGGATGCATGAAGCGGAAACAAATGGCAAAGTGGACCCCATTGAATACAAATCTAACGCTCGAGATGAATTCGTTCCCTCGTGTGGGACCCACTTTTGTATTCCTCATTGGCTTACGTATTGGACGTTAATTTCAGTGTGGGAGAGAATCAAGGATTCCATGGATAGCGGAATGACCAGTTTACCCTTCAATATCCTCGCTATAAAGACCGTCTCACCCTTCTCCAGCTCCATCTCTTATCTCCGATCTCTCTCCCTCGTATCTGAGCTCTCTTGCGTCTCCCAGAGAAAAAAAATAGAAACGCAGAAAAAAGAGCGTTTTCTCAGAGAGATTCGATTTGCTAGATTTTCTCTGGAAAGTGACTTAGGTGCGAATTTTCTGGAGGAGAGAGAAAATGCTGGGAGTGTTCAGCGGTGCGGTGGTGACGCCTCCGGACGAGCTGGTCTTGGCGGGGAGCAGGACGCCATCTCCGAAGACGACTGCGACGGCTCTGGTGAAGAGATTCGTCGACGGAAACTCCTCCGCCGTGTCCGTACAGGTCGGCGACCATGTTCAGCTCGCTTATACACACCACAACGAGTCCCCTCTCCGGCCCAGGTGAGTCGTCGGCGATTTTCTCTCTCTCCTCTTTTTAATCTGGTGCCTCTGTCTCGACCGTCCGATCACCAAAATGGAGATCGGACGGTCGAGATCACCCCAACTATTGTCCTCTCTGGTTTTGCTGATAAAATATATGAAAATTAAAAAAAAAAACAAAAAAAAAACAAAGAAATACTTTTTTTTACCAAAGAAAAAACATAAAACAAAGAGATAAAGAGATTAATTTTTTAATTCCTGTTTTGGTAAAAGGTATTTAGTTTTGTTTGATTCAAGGGGGAAATGATTAATATTTTACCAAAAATAAAAGAAAGAATATGTAAAGAAAATAAAAAAAATAAAAGAGGAAAATGCATCGAAATTCCATGCGTGGTTCATGGATCCATTCTCTGCGAATAAGCGTTCTTGTTTGATTCTGGATAATCTTGTATTGTTTATTTTATTCTTGATATGGTATTTTTCTGATATTAAAAAAAATTGTACGTTATCTTAATTTTGGTCATATTCATTGTTAAAATAATTAAATTAAATACAATTACTATAAGCTTAGATTCCGATGTAGATTACGGTGTAGTTTTCCAACACTCTCCCGAACCGACAACATTGAACCTTCATTGGGCGTGGACCATAGTAAATAACGTAGGCTAAAGTATTTCCTAACATATATTTATTATTGACAAAACGATGTATATATGTCTGTGTGTATACATATATATGTATATGTATATATATATATCCTTTGACCGTCGGTGCATAAGAAGTGAATCATGTATTCACGACTTTTAAAAAATAAGATACGTGTAATTTCATAAAACCCCACACCACACGTTTAGATACTACACCAAATGAATTTCTTAATATATATATATATATATATATATAATGTATGCATGTAACATATGAATATATATTTTAGCAAAAAAAACCATATAAATATATACCCTTGGGCCTAATCCATTAGACCAAAAACATGAAGAGCTATAGCAAGATGATTTTATTTAATGCAGAAAATATAAGTACTCGAATATATATTTCTTTTTTTATTGGCTTAATTTTGACACCATAAATTTACCTGATGAATTCAACTCCGATGGCAATTTAAACACAGATTATTTTGTGTGTGTATATTAGCACTTAAACAGACCCATAATATTTTTTATATATAAATTCAGATAAACCCAATAAAAATATTTTTTGGGTAAAAAAAGGTTTTTTTTTTCCTGGGTTGGTAGGACAAGTGTTAAAAATGTAAAATCATGAGATGTAGAAAGTGCCAAAATCTACGGAGTTATTGATGAGTTCACGAGTCGGTGGCGGTGGAATGAGTCGTGTGGCGAGTTGGGGACCAAACCGGGTTGAGATTTTTGCAGGTGTCGGACCGTATCTGAAAGACCAGACACAAAGCCTCTAATCTGATGCCACCCCTTCACTAGCTTCTATAATGAATTAGTAATATTCATCTAACTGAACTAATTAGGAAAAAGGGTTAAATAATAATTAATAATTGTGGTGATTATGTTAACATGAATGATAATGTGTGGTCATGTGAGTTTAATGGAGTTCATGTGAGATTATTTAAGAAAGTGCAAGTACTATAGTGGATGTCACAATCAACTTTTTTATTTTATTTTATTTATTCAACCACAAATCTTGAATCTAAGAGTAAGGATAGTGTGAGATTGTGATATGTTTGTACAAAAGCAGGTTGGTTGGTCCACCCACCCACCCCATATCTCTCTATTATCTCTGCAATTTATTGCAATTTTCATGATTTGCTTATCCCTTTTCTCTCGTGGGTCCCATCTCTTTTGTCTTCTTCTCTCCCACAACTTATGGACTTCTTAGCAATTTCTTGAACAGTGAAGGCTAATATTTTTTCTTTTTTCATTTTGTTGTGATGTTGTTGAAATGGAAGGTCGTTTGCGGCTAAGGACGAGATATTCTGCTTGTTCGAAGGGGCACTGGACAACCTCGGAAGCCTGAAGCAGCAGTACGGGTTGGCCAAGCAGGCGAACGAGGTGTTGCTGGTGATAGAGGCTTACAAGGCTCTCCGAGACAGGGCCCCTTATCCGGCTAACCATGTCGTGGCTCACCTCATCGGCAGCTTCTCCTTTGTCCTCTTCGACAAATCCACTTCCACCCTCTTCGTTGCTTCTGTAAGTTTTTGCCCTTTAACCCTTCTTCTCACTTGCTTTTAGTCTGTAGGTGACAGATTCTTGGTTCTTGGAAAAGGGCTTGATCAAAAAATTGGGATGGTTTTTGTGCAGGACCAATATGGCAGTGTCCCATTGTACTGGGGAATCACGGCCGATGGGTACGTGGCGTTTGCAAATGATGCAGAGCTGCTCAAGAGTGCTTGTGGCAAGTCCCTTGCTTCCTTCCCTCAAGGTGGGCTTTTTTTTCCCCTTCAATAGATTCTCCAAGGAACTTGCTCTGTTTTCTAGAATATTCCGACATAGCCTGTTATGAAATGCTTTGAACGTCTTGCAGGCTGTTTCTACTCCACGACAATAGGAGGTCTTAGGAGCTTTGAGAACCCTAAGAACAAGATCACTGCGATCCCTGCCAAAGAGGAAGAGATATGGGGTGCCACCTTCAAGGTAATAACAATGGCGTCCATTACGGCTTCCCGAGTTGGCATACATTAGCTGTTGCATTGCATACTCATGTTTTTTGTTGATGGAAGCAGGTGGAAGGACCGGCCGTTCTTGCAGCCACAGAGTGAAACAGAGCTTCTTTACTTCCAGAAAGAGAGGAATGAGAAGAGGAGGCAAGAAAGAAGATCACTCAGGCTGTTTCTGTAACCAAAAAAAAAACGTGTTCTTTCTGTAGAAACCAGGAAATGCTGTAATGATATGAGCCGTGGTGGGTTTTCTGGGCGTATCTGTAGCTTTGTCTGTGTCTGTGTACTCTGTTTGACTTGTGTTGTTTCTTTGTACAGCAATGTCGGTCTCTGTTCTAATAAACTCTCTTCTCTGTCACAAAAAAAGCCCCCAACTTTACGCGTATTTCCTCTGATAAGGATGATGAACATCTCTGTTCTTGCTCTGAAACAATAGAATTCATCTCCAAGAACGCAACCAGTGGACATAAGACCACAGAACGCGTTTGTTTTCACCTTACGCACCGGAAAATGGATCAAAGATCAAAGCTTTTATTATGGCCATTTACCACGTTTCGAGTTGAAGAACATCACCAAAGACGAGAAACAGAAAACAGAGACAGAGCAGAACTAGTTTCACGATCTCAAGAACGATATCTGTCTGTCTTGTAAGGCCGTTGAAAGAGGTCAAGAAACAGGGCAAATATCCTCCAAGCTGCAACAATAACAGAACACAAACACATGTGGCTGTACGAATCCTAATCCCGGAATGAAGTAGTGAGAGTTTTCTGAGACAAATTTTTAGGTAGAAGAATTCATACCTCTCCCCCAAACAATCGATAATGTCGCTCGTGAGAGTTGACCTCTTCTTCTTCTCGAACGCCAGCAATGCAGCCTTTCTCAGCAGACCTGACGCGGCTACGCATCCCGAGATGGCTGGATTTTCCGACGAGGAGCTGGTGAAATTGGATCATTCAAATGCAACGGTATTGATTGATGGGTTAAGAACGATAAAGAAAAGGGTGCAATGGCATCGAGATATCTAACCCGACAGTCTCTTTTGCTTCAGAAGGTGAACTGAGCTGCCGAGCCCAAGACAAAAACACTGCAACACTGGATGCAACCATACGAACCGAAGATATTAAAAAATATTATGGATCGAATTAGATACCTTCAGCCCACAAGCACATTCCCAAAGAATAATCCATACTCAATAGAAATTGAACCACATACCTACTGCTTTAGCAGGATACTATGCCGAAGTCTAAAGAAATTCTTCCTTAAGTTCAAAAGGTGCAAACTTTATAATGTGAACTAGCGTGCTCTCCTCTTGACTTGTGGTAATATGCAAAAAAATAATAAAAAAAAGGTTCGAATAAAATACCTCCCGGAGAGGATATCACCTTGCCCACCACAGCGCCTAGGTGAACCATATATGCTCACAGATTTGACTGCAGAGATTGGAGATGCAATAACACCCAGTGAAGCATTAGTATTTTCATAGCGTTTTCTCGATAAAAGTATAAAACAAGAAAAGATTCAGACCCGTCTTTCCATCACTTATAAGATCAGATTTGCCTTTCCTCAGAATTGTAACGCCTCCAATCCTGATCATCACAGATGTACAATCTTAGTTATTAGTTGTTTCAGTAGGGTTTTATAGTTTCGTGGTGTACTTACTCTCTGGCCAAAGAGCACAGCTGTTCTTGAGCATTCTGTTCATTTACTTCACAGTTCAGAACTTTCTGAACTAGGCGCTTATACTCGTTCACATTTGGGGTTAACACAGCGAGTGGATAATCGCTGACGAGATTGATCGAGTCTGTTATGAGAAACAGCCCGTCCTAATGGAAGAGCGAGTGGAACAGAAAATGATCAACAATCAAGATTTACTAAAAGGACAGACCAAGAAATTTGATCTTTATGCCAAGATAACTGCTTACCCCATCGACTACAAAAGGGATGTTGGACTCTCTAGCAAGCTTCATAATTTTGCTGACACATTCCTGAAACAAATCAAAATCTCTAGAGAAATTTTGCATGAGAGTTTCTAGGTCAAGAAGGCCGCAGTATCGACCAAAATATTTTTCCAATTCAATGCATCTCTAACAGACTATGCAGAATCGGATCAAATTATAGAATTATTTGCAGACAAAAAAACCTTTCTTTTTCCTCTCCTCTATGCAATAAACTGGGCTGAACAACGCATACCAGAAGAAATGGATCCCGGCCTAGACCGGGACCGATTACAAGGCAATCAAATCTCTCCATCCATTTACTGACTTCACCAAGTACTTTCTTGGAGATTTTCCCTCTATCTTCCCCACTTAAACCACTACGCTCCCATTAAAAGAACAGAAACAGAGATTAGAGAGACGGACAAACCTACTAAGACAAATCATGAAAGCAAAGCACGGGACATCACCTGAGGCTGTACGATTCCTCCAGAACCGGATGCACTATCAGTTCAGGACTATAGCTCTTTATAACTGGAGCAGCGTCCTTTGTGCAGAAAACATGAGACAAATCAGCGCCCTGCAGCGACAAGAAAAGAACCATCTTATCCTTAGAGACCATGTAAATTTGACCAAAAAGGAATTGAACAACACTTGAAGGATAGTGGAGCAAGACTACTAACGATTTTCAAAGCCGAAATGGCAGCAAAATAAGGAGCGCCTGTGTACTCACGACAACCTCCAATGATAGCTATCTTCCCTGGTAGAAGATTGAAAAACAATTCAAGCTCATGGCATAGGAATTGATCCCACAAAAATCGCAGAAAATAATGGCAAGAATCAAATAAAGGTTCTTGCACACGGAAAGAACCGAATTTCATCCCCAACACTTCCTGAGCTATTATTAAGTTTTTATCCATTTGGCTGCCAAAAGCAACTCTTGAACTTCTAAAACCTAAATCTACCTTTTGATGTTGCTTCAATCAGCTCATTTCTACTTGTTCATCTTCTTCGCCACCGAAGCTCAATAAATAACTTACATAACCTAAAAAAGGCATCTTTGAACCTAAAGTCTCCGGATTTGAACAAACAAAGTCGATTTCGATATCCGCCAAAAAAACCCAGATCATAAGCGATTAAACAATCGAATTCAAATCCATGTATACAACAAAACCCCACATGTAAAACAGGAGAAGGAACACAATTACGGACAAAGATTAGATCGGACTAACCAGCTTGTCCTTTGTGGAGCTTGGGGTCGAGAACCGGCGTAAGGGTTCTCAAGACGCTATCGGCGTCGGCCTCCGAGGAAATACCTCCGGAGCTCATGGCTCTGACGATCTTACGGCGACGGTTCTTCGCGTTGCAGCCACAGAGTGTTCTTACCAAATGATCTTGCCTCCTGAGCACGGACGATGAAGAAAAATTCGGATGCAACATATAACTTTTGGTGAAATTCAACCATGCGAGGCCGGAGAGGACACCATGCCTAGCCAACATCAGATTCCTGTTGACTCCTCTCACAAACCCTCGGGCCGCGAAAGCGGAAACCACCGAACGACGGGACACGTGTCGGAACAAGGGAAAGACTCTGTCTGGTTCGGAAGTTTTACTTAATTAGAGAAAAAAAATAAGAATACCCAAAATCATCGAAATTCTGAGCCATCGGGGAGAAGATGAAGCGGACGGCGATGGACAACGCGATGAGATCGGGGGTGGTGGTACTGGGATCTCTGGCCTTCGGCTACTTATCTCTGCAACTCGGATTCAAGCCTTTCCTCGATAGAGCCGAAGAATTCGAACGCTCTCTTCAATCTCCTCCTCAACAGCAGCAACTTCAAGGAGGTTCGCCTCCCTCTCCCTCTCTCTCACACACTCTGGTTTGATTCTTGCCTCCGTTTCGGTTTATGTCGTAGAATGTTTGACGAATTTAGTAGGTGAATACTGTTGATCCATCCGGGTTCTTGATTTCCGGCTGTGAAATTGTCATCGTGCAGCAAAAATTTGGATTCAGCCTGAAAAACTAGCGAAATTCTTCATGGTAATTCTACATCTATTGTGTAATCACTAATCGCATTGACAAAATGTAAACAGAAGGCATGCGAATAAGGCTGTTTAGTAGAAAGATTGGTTTTAACAAGAGGAGGAATCTGCAAAACCTAAGAGCTTGATAGAACAACAATCTAAAATAGATACGCAAGTTGTATTGATCAAATGGGAAAACACCAATACAACGACTGAGAGTTGATTCGTGTGAGACTCTCCCTCACCCCTTACCCTTAGACTTTCAATCACAAAATGCATAAGGAACCCAATATCCCATCTTTCGTTTTTATAGCCGCTGTACAACCCAAAAGAGGTTCGCCAATCCCCACGCGCCCAAAACCGTTTTCCAAAAGCCTATAGTAATAATTAATACTAGGTAATAATGGGTTTGTTAAAAACCCCTTTTCCCTTCCTTGCTCTGCCACTCTGATCATTCTCCAGGCGATGTTGTCTCCTGCGTGTCCCTGATGTTGTCTCCTGCAGCTCCAACCTCAGCCCTTGCATCTATCTTTCCGGTGATCGGCTTCCTCCTCCTTACATAAGCTCGAAATGGTGTATCACTACCCCCGGCCCGAAGACGCAGCTTGTCCTCAAGCTGGAATTCCGGAAACTGGTGAACAAAATCCTGAGCCAATTCCCATGTAGCCTCATGAAATGGTAAGCTCTTCCACTGGATCAGGACCTCGAGTAATCCTTCAGGTGAGTAGCGGTGATCAATGATATCCTCCGGCTCAACAATCACCTCCAGATCTGCGGTCAAACGAGGTGGCAGAGGTTGGGTTTCAAAAGCCGACCCAATGGCTTTCTTCAACTGAGAAATGTGGAACACTGGGTGAATTTTCGAATCAGTAGGCAATTGGAGTTTATAGGCCACTTTCCCAATGCGTTGGGTCACCTGGAATGGACCGTAGTACCGGGCAGCAAGTTTCTGACAAGTTCGGCGAGCCACCGAGTGTTGCCGATAAGGGCGAAGCTTCAAGAAAACCCAATCTCCCAGCTGAAACTCGAGCTCTCGACGTGATCGATCAGCATATTGTTTCATCCGATTTTGTGCTCGAATCAATTTCTGCCTTATGTCTATCAGCATCACATCACGTTCCTGTAGAGAAGCCTCTAAATCCCCATTCATGGTAGAACCGGGTTCATACCTGATTAGAGCAGGAGGAGCGCGCCCATATACCACCTGAAATGGAGAAGTCTGTAGGGCCGTGTGGAAGGCAGTGTTGTAGGAATATTCAGCCCAGGCAATGAACAAAGCCCATTTTCTCGGATGATCGCAGGCATAGCATCTCAAGTATGTTTCCAAACTCCTGTTCACGACCTCTGTCTGACCATCCGTTTGCGGGTGGAAGGCCGTGCTGAACTTGAGTTTTGTACCCGAGAGGCGGAATAATTCCCTCCAACAGAGACTGAGAAAAATCCTGTCTCTGTCTGAAACTATGGATGTAGGAAAGCCATGAAGCCTGACAATCTCACGGATAAAGACTGTAGCCACATCTACAGCCGAAAAAGGGTGAGTTAAGCAGATGAAGTGAGCAAACTTACTGAGGCGATCCACCACAACCAGAATTGCATTGAAACCGCAGGATCTAGGGAGTCCTTCGATGAAGTCCAGGGAAATGTCACTCCATATCTGAGTCGGCACCGGTAACGGTTGCAGCAAGCCCGCCGGAGATAGTGTGGAATACTTGTTTCTTTGGCAGATAGGACAAGCCGCCACATAACGCTGTATGGCTCCTTTCATGCCCGTCCAATGAAACAACGATTGAACGCGCTTCATTGTTTTTAAGACACCACCATGTCCTCCAATGGGACTGTCATGCAACTCAGCCAAGAGAATTGGAATAAATGCAGAAGTAGCGGGAATCGCAAACCTTTGTTTATATAAGAGTACGCCACCTTGTAGAGAGTATCCAGGAGGTGTCGGCTGTGAGGCTCTGAGTTTGCCCAGAATTGGTCCCAAAACCGGGTCCTCTTCAACTTCCTTTGCCAGGGAAGTCAGGTCAAGGCAAGTAGGAACTGTCAGCGCCCCGATCCAAGACGTCCCCTGTATCGGTGCATCATGGGGAATCCGAGAGAGGCCATCGGCAGCTTTATTCTCGAGTCCTGGCTTGTATATGATGTCAAAGTCGAACCCCAGAAGCTTGATCAGCCAGCGTTGGTACTCCAGGCTCACCATTCGTTGTTCCAACAGAAATTTTAGGCTTTTCTGATCTGTGTATACTTGGAACTTTCTGCCCATTAAGTAATGTCTCCACCTCTGGACAGCAAGCACAATGGCCATGAGTTCCCTTTCATACACTGGTCGCATCTTGTCTCTGTCTTTCAATCCAAAGCTGAAATAGGCCACTGGTCTCTTCTTTTGCATCAGAACAGCTCCTACTCCCGCTCCCGAGGCATCAGCCTCGACTACGAAAATATCTGAAAAGTCAGGCAAAATCAACACAGGAGCTGAAATCATTGCGTGCTTGAGGCTGTTGAAAGCATATGATGCCGTATCCGACCACATGAAACTGTCCTTCTTCAATAAGTCGGTCAGGGGCTTGGCGATTGTCCCGTAGTTACGGACGAAACGTCTGTAGTAACCCGTCAACCCTAAGAACCCACGCAATTCTTTCACCGTCCTGGGTTCTGGCCATTGCTGCATTGCCACCGTCTTGCTGGGATCAGTGGCGACACCGGCCTTTGAGGTCAGGTGGCCGGGATACTCAATCTGTGGCTGGCCAAAAATGCATTTCTTGCGGTTAGCGAAGAGCTGCTGTTGGTGTAGCACCTCAAGGACTGTCTTGAGATGCGTCACATGTTCTTCCCAGGAACGACTGTAAATTAATATGTCATCAAAGAAAACCAATACAAATCGCCGCAAGAAAGGCTTGAAGATCACGTTCATGAGAGCCTGGAATGTAGCAGGGGCATTGGTCAAGCCGAAAGGCATGACCAAAAACTCATATAGTCCATCATGCGTTCGGAATGCCGTTTTGTGAATGTCGGAGTCTGCCATACGTATCTGATGGTAGCCCGACCTGAGGTCCAGTTTGGAGAAAATCTCAGCTCCATACAACTCGTCCAGCAGTTGGTCGATGACAGGGATTGGGAATTTATCAGGAATGGTAGCCCGATTTAACGCCCTATAATCCACACAGAACCGCCAGCTGCCCTCCTTTTTTCGAACCAACAAAACGGGGCTCGAAAAAGAACTCTGGCTAGGGCGAACAATACCAGCCTTGAGCATATCCGAAACCAGCTTCTCAATCTCTTCTTTGTGAGCATGTGGATAACGGTAGGGTCTGACTCGGATTGCAGGGGTTCCCTCACGTAAGTGAATAGAGTGAGCACGTTCTCGGAGAGGGGGCAGTCCTTCCGGCACGCCAAAAACAGCTTGAAATTCGTCCAAGACTGGAATCAATGCTGCTGCTGGCTTCATCTCGAGCGATGAGTCTGATTGTAACATGTTGATCTCAACCCAGAAGCGTTGTTCCCCGTGATGTACGGTCTTCATCAATGACTTGAAGGAGACCAATGAATTCTGTAACCCAGGATCTCCCTGAATGGTGACTTGGGTTGCGCCTTGAAAGAATCGCATCTCCAGCTTTGAAAAGTTGAACTGGATTTGACCAAGGGTTCGGAGCCACTGAATACCGAGCACCACATCAGCGCTGCCGAGCTCGAGAGGGAGAAAGTCGGCGACAATGGCCAAGTTCTGGACGTATAGGGTTACCGCTTGGCAGATCCCTTCCCCTTGAACCGTTAGCCCGTTGCCGAGGAAGACCCCGTAACCCGAGGTGTGAACCGGTCTGAGCCCTAGCTTTGTAATAACCTCCACAGACATAAAATTATGGGTTGCGCCGCTGTCCACGAGAACCACCACTCCCTGACGGCCGATCGTGCCTGCGACCTTGAAGGTTTTTGGAGAAGTGAGACCGATGACAGAGTTCATGGACAGCTCAGCCTGCTCTGGGACATCTGTAGGTAAAGGTGTCGATAGCTCCTTCAACTCCTCTTCACCCACCAAATACTCCACGTCATCTTTTACCAAAATAACCTGTAGTTCCTTGTTTTTACATCTGTGCCCCACAAAATATCTCTCATCGCAGCGAAAACACAAGCCACGTCGACGCTTTTCCGCCACCTCATCATCACTTAAACGCCTAAAGGGATTAGGGCGATCAGCTTGTGGGCCCATAGAAGGTACCGTCGAGGCCGGTGCAGGGCGCCGACTATCCCCCAGACGGCTGGTGTCAGACGACTGTGTTGCCGGCACTGATACTGTACGAAAATTTCCCGAAGTCGACGACGCAGAGCGAACAGACCTCCCCTCGGAGTGTCTAGGAGGAACCCCCGGTGGCTGAACAGAGCAACCGTCGAGACGTAAGGCGAGGTCGACAATCTTCTCAAAGCCCTCCGGGTGAAAAATATAGAGCAAGTCACGAAGCTCGGCCTTTAACCCATGTCGAAAGGCACTGACGACCATATCCTCCGGCATCTCCGGCAACTGGGCTAGCAGAGCCTCAAAGTCCTGCAAATATTCCGCAACCGAACGCGACTGTTTCAGAGAAAATAGACGATCAGTAAAAGAACCTGCCCGCTTGTCGCCGAAACGCGACAGCAACCGGAGTTTAAAATCTGTCCAGTCAGTGAAATCCGAGCGGCGGCGCTGCCAGTTGAACCAGTCCAGGACGGGTACATCCACGCTCAGGGAGACGAGGCGAAGTTTCTCCTCATCAGTGCAGCCTCCATGTTCGAAGAATCTCTCTGCACGAGTAACCCAGCCATGGACATTGTCTCCTTCAAAAACCGGCATATCGATTTTTTTCACTTGGGAGTCGAACGTGTTTGTGAAACGGCGGAGCCCCCCCGTTGCTGTGTCCGTCTCTGTCTCCGGCAACTCCCCTGAGTTCAGGATCGTCTCCCCCGGTAGTATCGTCGGGTTTGCGTCGCCTGGCGGATGGGTGGAGCTTGAAGGCTTATCGGCGGGGGCCCGCAACGC